GGAGAATAAACAACTAGAGGGTTAAGTAAGTTGCTTGAGCCGCACGGCTAATAAATGCCAGGCTCAAAATTCAACTGTGATTCTACTGCACACAACATGTTTCAAAGAATTTGAATTTGGAATTCCTTAATAATGTTTATATATAATTTAAGTCATACTGTAAGCCAGCAAAACTACCAGAAAAGTTAACTGTTTGTTATATCATGGTCTTTATATATTTAATCAAATTCACATTTATTTGTAATCATACTTATAGGAAAATTTATGTACATGAGAAAGCAAAAGAATGTTTTAAAATTCTTTAATTGTAGCCTCTAACCACTGACACACACACACTGTATCTCAGTCTCATTGGTGAAAATAACAATTAATCCACTAGAAACATCTTTACTTTGAAGTAAAGTAAAAGTCATACTTTACTTTGAAGTAATGTAAAAAAGTCTTATACACTTATTTAACAATACGAAGTTTTATAGTAATTATAATTTCAACTTAGTGGCCAAAGAAAATAGAACTAAAAGAAAAATAAAATTATCCTGAATCCAAATTCAGATTTAAATATATTTTAAAAATATGTGGCTGCTCCAAAATATCAGGCGACTGGCAGAGTGCTACCTCTGTGACACAGAGGAAGTTACGTGTAAGCTCAGAGAATAAGTCAGTGGTCTGAACCCAGGACCCTCATTTCTATATTAGGGCCACATACTCTACTGCTCAGATAAGAACTCTATGTTTTGCTTTGGATCCATAAAGATTAAAGGAGTGAAAGTAATTAGAAATTGCACCTGGGAAAAAAGAAGGTGACGGAAAACACACACGGGAAAATGGTTGGGCTGTCGCATTTCATACGGATATCACTGTAGTTACCATATTGTAGAGAATTGTTTATGTGCATCTCTCTCTTTCACTAGGCTTGGAATTCCCATTGAGTAGGAACTGCATTTTCTTTATCTTTGAGACCCTGGATTCTATTTTAATAGTGACAGATGAAGGGAAAGACAGAAGGGAGGAAAGGGAGTAGAAGGAATGAAATAGATTTTTTTTAGAAAACCTAAAGAGATATGACTTGAGAGACAAAAGAAAGGGGGTAGAACATTTTGGTACGAGTGACATAAAAACATCCCATCACTTACATGTGATGGAGAAAAAAATACAGTGAGAATGTTATAAAAAAGTGTGCATATTAAAAAAAATTTGTCCGCCAGGCGCGGTGGCTCACGCCTGTAATCCTAGCACTCTGGGAGGCCGAGGCGGGTGGATTGTTTGAGCTCAGGAGTTCGAGACCAGCCTAAGCAAGAGCGAGACCCCGTCTCTACTAAAAATAGAAAGAAATTAATCGGCCAACTAAAAATATATACAAAAAAATTAGCCGGGCATGGTGGCACATGCCTGTAATCCCAGCTACTCGGGAGGCTGAGGCAGGAGGATCGCTTGAGCCCAGGAGTTTGAGGTTGCTGTGAGCTAGGCTGACGCCACAGGCACTCACTCTAGCTTGGGCAAAAGAGTGAGACTCTGTCTCAAAAAAAAAAAAAAAAATTTGTCCAAAACACCATTTCATTCAGATTTGGGTGATGGCTATTTCTCTAAATGATGTCAAACTTACTCAATTTTAAAAAATGATCTATGTAGAAATTTCTCTCCAGTCAAAATGGAGGTATCTTGTGCAGAAAGCAGAACTTGGTGAGTTTAGACTCATGTCCATCTACGACACATAAGTGTTGCGTTATTAGGGTATCAGTTGCCGACTCAATGGTTTATCGATACAGAAGCTAAGTGACACACTATTCCGAAATCCTAAAAATTTACTTAGATAGAGGCATCTGTTATTCGGTTAATCTGTTTTCATCAAATCTTTGTACATTAGGAAGAACTACCTGAAAGTAATTCCCTCCTCCCAAATATAAGTGAGAGTATTCGTAAAGTGGAGTCTTGAGACAAGCATTCTGTTTGGTTGATTTCAGTAGTTAGCTGCCATTTAAACACCTGAGAGTCAAGCAATCATGTAATATGACCTGTAGGACTACACGGTGCATTACAAATGCAAATACTATTTATGATGAAAACTAAGCAAAAGCAACATTCGTGGTGCACTGCTAAGTTTAATTTCCTGCCTTGCCTTTGGTATATAGTAAAACCCCTTTGTCTTGATCTTCCAAGCAATTGCACAAAACGGGTGTTTATAAACAAATAAAAATGATATAAAAAGAATCAAAACATTGTGTAGGATATCTCCAGATTTCCTTAAAATTGAGTATTCTGATTAAAAATAGAAAATATTTCTTTGACTGTCCTTTTGGTGTAGAGTTATAGACATATAAAAATCTAGACTTATAAGAACATTTTAAGTTTTAAACTTATAAAAACTTACTGGGGAATGAGTAATTTTGATTTCCCAAGACAGTTATTCCCTCACAAGAGATGCATTACGTAACTTTTTTAAATAGTAAACTTGTCTGTTGCATTTAAATTACGTTTAATTTATAAAATGACTTAATAAAACATTTTCACAAACATTATATCTGTATGTAATGGAAGATACACACACACACACACACACACACACACACACACATTGATACTTTATATAACCAAGCATATTTAGAAGACAGAAAATAGCATAAAGCATTTACAATCTCACTGGGCTATATTACAATATCCACAATATTTTAACCCTCCCCTAGCTGTTAAAAAAAATAGTTTGTGATGAAAATGATAGTAATTATAATCCTAATAATTATTATTATGAATAAAAAGAGCGCTTATTTCTGCCCACCCTGTTTAATACCTTTCCTGCATTATCTCATTTAATCCTATCAATCACCCTATAAGGGACTATTGTTATCTTCATTTTAGAAGTGAGAATCTTAAAATGTAAAAAGGCTAGGTAACCTGCCCGAGATCTCACAGCTTGTAAGTCAGCATCTGGAATATAAATATAGGTAGTTTGACACTAGAGTAGAACCCACATGTTCTACTACTTCTCACAATTCCTAGCCATAATGAGCTTTTAAAAAGGTAAATCTTATCATGCCAGTAAGTGGCTTGAAACCCAATAATGGGTTCCTATCTCACTCAGAATAAAATTCAGAAGGCTCTCCACTATTTCGTTCAAGGCTCTGACCACCTTCTTTGTTAACCACCTACCACCTTTGTCCTCCCTCATGGTGTTCCAGACACACTGACCTTCTTCTTGGTCTTCTAAGACACTGAGCTTGGGTTTGCACTTGCTGTCCTCTGCCCAAAACACTCTCCTCTCCAGACTTTCATATCATTTCCTCCCTGCTCTCCCAAGGATACTACTCAAATGTCAGCTCTTCAAAGAGTCTCCCTTATCACCTTTACTAAAATAAAGTTCACCTGCACCTCACTATCACTGTCCTTTTACCTTAGCTAATTTTTATAGAACTATCACTATCTTCAACACAAATAACCACATAATAGTTGTTCATTCACTTGTTCAACGGCTGTTCCGTGGGGGCAGGACCTAACTGTTCACCTCTGTATCACCCGTACCTAGGACAGTGCCTGGCGAAAAGCACATGCTCAAAAAGTTTTTGTGGAATGAATAAAAAATTAAGTATATGTGCATTTTAATATAGAGTATTTGTGAAGTTAAACACACTACCATCAGTGGATAGGTAAGAGTAACAAATCATCATTAGAATTGAAAACAAAAGCAAAGGTAGTGCTTAGGTTTTTATACTAATACATATGTAGTCTTCAGAGTGGTATGTATCTATGCAAATCTGTGTGCACACAACAGAGGACAAACTGGGCGATTATGAAAATCATATACAGATACTTCTGTACCTGAGCGTCAACAGGAAAGCATCTGATGTCACTTCCATTTGGAAGGCACAGGGCATGTTGTGGGAAATGCACTGTTCTAGGTGCCAACCAGACAGGTGTAAGAGGCAAGAGGAAAAGAGGTCTACGTGTGAGTTAAAATAACAGTAAAGAGCCAAACATTTTGGTATGAATCCTCAATCCTTTACCCCTGAAACTCTGTTAAATTCCAGTGTAACCCCAGGGATACGGTCAGGTCTGAAATCCATTTGGAAATGCTTCAATGGTCCCACGTTGCACCCACATCTCTGACTTTCTCTTAAAAAGACTCGATCCCGATTTTGAACCTACGAATGTCCCAACGTGTGCACGATCAGTCCTATAACCTGATCGAGAGCCAAGTAAGTACCACAAGAGTCAAGCTGGATTAACTCCCCAAGGCTCAGCCTCCGTCCTTTAGTTCTGGGGAGGAACCTGGGCAGTGTAAAGATTCGGGGGAAGTGGCCAGTGCAGAGATCTGCTCGTCAGCAGTCTGTCTCAGAGTGTGTGCAAATGTTAAGTGAGACTTCTGTTTAAATTCAGACTAGTCTGTGCAATATTACATTTTCCAAAAGACACAAAGGGAAGGTCTGTTTATCACCTTGAATGAGAGAAGTGTCTCCAAGACACTCGAAGTATATTAATAAAGATAAGTGGGAATAACAATATAATATATTTTTTTGTTCTTTCCCAGTCATGATGACATTAACCAGAGTCTGCATACAGGTATAACTGTGAACTTAATGAAAGGAGATAGGTTTTTATAAAAATAAGTATATTTTTAAGAACAGAAAATATCAGTGTTATGATTGATGATATGTTGCTTGCATTAATACCACAACAAATATGTAATAGCATATAGAAGAAAATAAAATTTTAAAATGAAATGAAAATCTTTCTCTTGGTCTGAGATTGCATACATTATGTTTTATGGCAGATTAGGACATTTTCTTTAACAAATATGCTGATTAAATTCTTAAAATAGAAGTCAAATGGAAAAAATTTCTATGTGAAAAAACAACGTAAAAAGAATAAGCAAAGTATTAGTTAAAAGTGTGCCAAATTAATTAAGTCAATAAGAAAACTAGTTTCTCTGGCATATAGTATATAGAATTAATGTATTTTCTTAAACACAGTTAATACTAATTTTTAAATAAGAGATACATCCAACTTACTAAAGATTTATCAGGATAGACTCCAGCTCTCAGTAGAGATGCCTTCCAGCTGTCTACATCCTCCTGTGAATCACATGCCAGCTCAAGGAAGCGATAGTCTTTGTATACATTCCTGCAGTTAAAAAAAAAA